GGCCTCTGAGTGAACCTGCGTTCCTATTCCTTCCTCACTGGGGAGAGAGTGGTCTGGTGTTGGGACATCCAGAGGACCTGTCAGTTTGGGACGACTGAGCCAGGTTTTTGGGAGTTGTTCCCAACTGGGCTTCTTGCTGACCTAGAGGGCAGGCCCCCACTGAAGAGCTCCCAGACCTTTCTCACCGATCAAGGCTCCTAAGCCTTCCATCTCTGCACCAAGAGGTGTCCAGGGGAGAAGAAGAAAGTGGCCGCATCTGTCGTGAACATGCCTTGCTGGGATGAGCAGCCCCAGAGCCGTGGCTTCTTCTCAAGGGCAGGCTGCAGAGGCAGGGCCTGAGTAACCTGGACTAGGTACCAGCCCTCTCTGGGCCCCAGGGTCCCTGTCTGGGGAATGAGGAAGTTGGACTGGTTCATCAGACAGTCAGCTTGGGCGCAAACACCCTAGCCTGGTGTGCAGGCCTTTCTCAGCTCACTTTCCCCAAGTGTCCGCTTTACCCAGTGTGAACCCACATTCCCCATGATCTGCATTTTAGGCCCTTGCTCTTCTCTGAGTCTGCAGGAACCCCATGCCTGCCTTGCTAAGGACCACCCTCCTGCCCTCACTCACCCTGGGAGATGCCCCTTACTCTCTCTTCCCTGGACATGCCCCTTCTCACCCTCTGGCAGATGAATCCCTCCCTGAGGCTCAAGTGGCAGTTCCCAGGAGGCTTTCATGCATTCCAGAACTTCCTCTAGACTCAGAATTAGGGGCTATTGGAACTCCTTCAGCATCTCTACTGACCTGCCAGGTGAACCTAAATGACTTGTTACATCTCTTTCTAAAACAGCAAGGCAGCTAGAGGTGAGTTTAGTTTGCCCATTTGGAGATCCAGTTCTAGCCACTCATTCCATAAACATGGAGAACCAGTGATCATTCCTCTCTTCGCTCACAGGCGCACCCGCCCCGGCCCCCACCAAGTTCTTAGCTCATACACAGTGCTGTCCAGGGGCAAGCATCTTAAGTCCTCTCGCATTTGCCTCTTGCATTTGCCTCTCAAATTTGCCTCTCTGCTATGTCACCATGTTTGCAACGGCATCCCCGTGGTCCTGAGCAGCAGCTGACCCTGCTTAGAGAAGTGAGCTCATCACGGGCCAGCCGCTGCTCAGTTCATGCCCACGGCAGCCTAGCTGTGAGGCAGGCACCGCTGTCATTCCTGTTCTATGGATGGGGTAAGTGAGGCACAGAGAGCTCACGTGCCCTGACCAAGGAAGTGTGGTATGGCCCACGATGGACCTCAGGCCATGCCTTTGAGCCTGTGCCACCCCCACTCCCCCACCCCTCGCAAGGCCTGTTCCCGCCTACTCCCGCCTACAAGGCTCACTCAGGCCTCAGCACCTCCCTGGCTGTGGGGACCTGCTCCAACTGACCGAGGGGGAAACCAAAGCCTGGGCCCCCAGTGGGGAGATGTGAGTAGCACTCACTCTCTTGCAGGGCAGGAAAGACTTGCGGAAGTATGGAAATGGCCTGAAGGTGAGACACTTAATTTCAGTTCTGAAGCAGTAACATTCAAAGTACCATCAGGAACAACAATAGAAGAAGCCTCTTTGGCAGCAAGACCTATCTGTTCTGCCTTGCCACAAAAGGCTGGTTTTTTTTCTTTGTTTGTTTGTATATATATATATATATATTTTTAATTTTTAATAAACATATAATGTATTATTAGCCCCAGGAGTACAGGTCTGTGAATTGCCAGGTTTACACACTTCACAGCACTCACCATATCACACACTCTCCCCAATGTCCATAACCCCACCCCCCTCTCCCCTCCCCCTGCCACCCTCAGTTTGTTTTGTGACATTAAGATTCTCTTATAGTTTGTCTCCCTCCCGATCCCACCTTGTTTCATTTATTCAAAAGGCTGGGTTTTTATTCCCTGTGTGGTAACACTTAAAAAAAAGGTTTGTTAGTGAGCCTGTAGTGTGTTTCATTTTTTGGTTAAAAACGGAAATTATTTCCTCTGATTTCATGAGCCTGGAAACTTGTCTCTGAAGCATCAAAGTGCCCCCCCAAAAACACCACGCAGGACGAGGAATCTTCAGATCCGTTTAGAACTTTAGCCCTAACAGGCCCCTTTCTTCCATAATTTCATGGTTTATTTGGAAAACTGCCCAACTATGACACTGTATCATCTGGGATAATACAAGCCCGGTGTAGTGAGTGACGGCTGAAAGCAAGCTTGTCTTCTCAAACAGCACAGGAGATACTGCGTGAATTCCAAACGGAGACAGAAAAACAATTTTAAAAGTGCCAACCAGTATACAAATAGGAACCCCATGTCATGAGGTAACTTTGCAAACACAAAGCCTATGAGGAGTTAGAGTTACAGAGAATTCCACCCACTGTCTTGGTATTCTCTGGTGGTATCTGGTGCTGAGAACTCCACTTTAACAACAACAACTCTTTAATTTGGCCACAGGCAGAAAGAGATCTGACAATCCTACATCTCTCTGTCCCCCTGATTTTCGGCAGGGGACACCCTGCTTGGGCTGTCAGGAGAGCTGGTATCAAAAGCTGCAAAGATGAGCTGAAGCAATGATTTGAGTTCAGTGTTGCTTTACTCACATGCTAATAATCCCTAAATGATGTTATATTTCATTCCACATTCACGAGGAATTCCATTGCCATAGCAACCGCAATGTGATACCAGAAGTTTTCCTGAAACTGGGGCTTAGAATATCGCCTCTCCTCCCTTGCAGAGCAAGAGGGCTGTGGTCTCCACATAGCCCTCCAGAGAATCACCTTCCCTGCTCCGCCAACAGCCCAGGCCCCAGCCACAGAGAGGGTGTTCCGAGCTGCGGCCCCTTGAGTCCACCACCATGTCCCCCCCACCATCTCTACACACCTGGCCCCGTGAGGAGTGTGTCCTCATAGTGACTTCTGGGGTACAAATGAAACCTGAGAATGAAGTCAGAACTTTTCTTTAGAAAAAGTCTGGTAGGAAAAGAGAATGAACATGGATGAATTTAGAATTACTATTTGCATGAAAAAAAGAAGGTATTTTTCAGTTTCCTCTATCAATAACTCCCTGGAAGTAGGGACAAAAGACAAACCACCATCCGTGGAGCTGAAGAGGGGATTAAATACTCTACTGCTATCTCGGGGTGGGGCTGTAGAATATTGTCCTTTACTGCCTCTTCCCTTCTAAGACCTCTGCTCCCCAGCCCCTATTACTGTGTCCTCTTGTTCCCCATTGGAACCATGGCTCTGGGGCAGGTGGGGTGGTGCCCACCCGAAGCCCCCTGCCTGCCCTCCATCCCTGCCAAGCCCCTGCGGTCAGTGAACAGGGCTTCACTGTTTGCTGGGCACTCCTGGTGGGGATGCTGGAGGACAGAGGCAGGCGGGCCTTCCCGCTTCCTGGGACGGGAGCCAATCTGAGCAGGAGATGGTGAGGACTCCTCCATGGCGTCCAGACCCACGGAGCTGGGTCTGCAGAAACGGGAGCCCTGGTTCCTGTTGGGCATCTCAGCATGAGGACCTGACCCTCAGCTTCTTCATTCCTGACTCCACCTACCCAGAAGCCATGTGGGCCCCACACCTGCTGGGCAGGGCACTTGTTCCTGCCTCTGCCTTCCCCGCATGACCTGTGCCTCTCTGCTCCAGGCCCGAGGCCATGCTGGATTAAAACAGGATGACAGGGGTCACTAATACACCACACTGTGATGTGCCTGGCACATGGGTGTCTGTGTAGCCTCTCATTTACTTTCCTCCATACTGCCAATAGCCCCTTTCACAGCAGAGGAAAAGGCCCAGAGAAGTGGAGTGATGTGCCCAAGGTCACACAGCTGGGAAGTGGCAGAGCCAGAAGGCACCCTTAGGTTTCTCTGGGAGCTGGTGGGGACTGCTGTCCACAGCACGGGCATTCATAAAATCCGTATAAAACCTCAATGAATCAGAAGGATTTGGTGGATGAATTCAATCAGCATGAAGCAGAACCAAGCCCTGATCCACGTGCACCGGCGGCCCCCATCCTCCCCGGCTCTTGCCCACCCTCCCTTGCCGAGGCAGCTTTCATGGGTTGTTTTTCCCTTGCATGAAATGAGAAATGCTGTTTGAATAACCGATGGTGAGGGAGGCTGGGCGCACTCTGAAGCAGAAATAAAAACCTTTAGAAAGATGCAATTTGGGGGATATTGGAAACTGGAGAACGGAACATCAGTCTATAAAATTCAACACGGCCAATGAAGCTGGAGCAGCTGGTCAAGTGTTTTAGCGCGCACAGGGCCGGGGTTCAGCGGGCATGAGGCTGGGCAGGGTTTTCAGACCAGGAACATTTTTCCTGGGCTCATTTGGCCTCATTTCCATAATGTGCCTCATGACTCCTGCAGCACTTCAGCGTGAGTGTCAGAAGCACAGCTGTGAACGTGTCCAAAGCTACTTCTACTCAGAGGGGAAGCCCGACCTGCCAGAGCTTTGCCTTCTCCAGGACACCTTCCCCCCTGACCTCGACTTCTGCTGCCACAGCCCAGACAGGATGGGAAAGCGGCCCTTCATGTGTCTGCAGGTAGGTTGGGGGGTGGCTGTAGGTGGCCAATAGACCTGTGCTCCCTTGCGGAGAACTCCCTGACATCCCAGCCATAGCACCATGAGCTCGGGTCCCATTAGGGAGAGCCTGAGCCCTGCCCCTCCGCTCTGGGTGCCCAGGCCCAGGCGGCTCTGACGCACCTCTCCATCACTGTTGTAGGCACTTGGTGGCTTCCATCCCTTCTTTTCCCCTCCCTGTCCTACCCCAAAGGTCTGCCTAGATTCTGCTCTCCAAGGCCCCCCTGCCAAAGGCAGGGGGGTCTCTGGAGGTGGACATACACAGAACATGCCTCATTGAAATGTTGCTGTTGCTACCCGGCTGAGGCTCCTGTCTTCCTCTACTGCCTTTACACATCCAACCTGCAGACTCAGCACCCTGGCATGAGAATATCCATCCCCAAAACCAAAAGCATAGGTGCAAGGAGGTATCTTCCTACCTTTAAGGAAACAGTCCTTGCTGTGGACAATGACAATATTCCTCTCCAGCAGGCAGGCGGCTCGGTGGAGTTCACAGTGATTCTCATAAAACCTCCCATCGGAGCCACACACGGGCATGTAGCTGGGCCTGCATGCCTCCAGGCACCGGCATTCAGGCTCCCCGGTCTCTCTGCTGAGCATGCATCTGCTCCCGCGGCTGCAGAACTTCTTCCCACAGGAGGCTGGCAGCCCATCAGAAAGTCCTGCTGAACACAAACACAGAGGGTCAGCTGCAAGCATTTGGGGAGGGTGGTCAAGGGCTTCCTTTGTGGTTCCATTTGCCAGTGAAGCCAAGGGCTTGGGGTCTGGGGTGCCCAAAAGAGTCTTTGCCCTACTAACAGGAGGTGGTCACAGGTGCCAAAAGCAGTGCCCAGCTGTACAGGGTTCAGGTTTTATGGCTCACACCAACCATCTCAGGCACACCCACCCTGGAAGGGAAGAGTAAACAGGGGACCACATGGAGGTAGCAAAGAACCAATGGATCATGCCAAGTGAGAGGAGGATGGCTTGCCTTTTGAGCCATGGCTCCCGTAATTGCACTGGAGGGAATGACCTGATGGGAGGAGGAGTTCTGTACAGGGGCAGGATGGGAAGGGTAAGGATGCCAGGAGTGATTCTAGGAGACACAGAGTGCCAAGCAGAGCAAGTGTGGTCAGATATGTGGGGCAGGCAGTGGGAAAAACGGCAGAGTCTAGGGAGTCAGTGTGGAGTAAGAAAGGAGAAAGCAATACTCTTAAATGTTCAGGATGGGGTCAGCCATGGCAGGGAGGCTTCAGCTTGACCTTTGTCTCTGGGTGAGAATGTGGTTCTCCAGAATACACACCACCAGCAGTGGGACCAGTAGGCTTTCTCTACCGCCCAGCACTTTCTAGCACAAAGCAGGAAGTCACAGCTGTGGCAGGAAGGCTGAGACCTGGGGAATGGCTGCTGCCATGCTGCTGGGTGTCCCCTGCACCCAACACACGTGTCCAGTGGTGTGAGGCAGTGGTGCCCAGAGCTCACACTCCCATGTGGGCAGGCCGGGAGAGCATCTTATTGCTGGAAGTGCCCACTTACACGAAAGGCCAAGCAAGGACCCCCAAAATGACATTCCATTCCACCAGAGGAATTCAGAAAATGAGAGGTTTGCCATGCAGCATTAATGGCAGCAAACACAAGTTGAGAATAGGAAAAGGATATCGAAATACAAATAATTAAATCATGGATGCAGATTTTACGGCCATGGAAGTCTTTGCTTTTAAGTTTTAATTGTATCTTCTTCACAATTTTCAAGCGAGACAGAATGGCCCCAGTGGTCAACACTGAACCTTTGGCCCCAGCTCTGATCCCATGGGATTAAAACATCTGGGGGAAAAACAACCTTCTTTTTCCTGTTTTCCATTAAGCCTGCTTTTCATCATTCTAGATTTGAAAGGAAAAAAATCAGTTATCAATAGATTAACTGCTTGATTCAATAATTCATTTACATTCTTCCAGCCTCAGCCTTGGCAAGCTAAGAAATATTGACTTTTTCTTGAATCAAAATAAACTAGAAGGTCAAAATATCTCTGAGCAGTGTAGAAGTGCAGATCCTAAGCAGGCGTGGGAATCTTCTTTATCCACTTGGCTGATGTTTGCATGCCACAGTGGAGGCTCGGTGGCATTTATCGGCTCTGCACACGTCTTCCTGTCAAGGTTGACAGGTGAAGGGGAGCCGAGGGGTCCTGGCAGTGGGAGGCCCTGGGCTGGAGGGCCTCCTCCACCCATGGTGTTGATGGCTGCTTTGTCACAGAGCTTATTTGATTAGCATGATTCTCTTGGGTGCTGCAAAATGGGTTACCCTGGAAAGCGCTGGCAGCTACTAAAAAAAACTAATACAGCTCTAAAGATACCGGCTTTTGTTTCTTTCCCAAGACAGCCAGAACACAAAGCACTGCCGTTGTATCACTGTTTTAATAAACTTCCCGTGTGATGGCAAGGGCACCCACTCATCACTACAGTTTGAAGAAGCAGAGCCAAAGTTTCTGAGTGTCTGGCCTCTCAGTTTCTGCTTCAGGGTATTTGCCCTGCCCAGACTATGCTCACAGCTGACTCAGCTCCAATCACTCATCCCCTGGGGTCTAGTGCCTCTCTGAGGTGCTCACTGCCAGGGCGAGTCTGAGCCTCCCCCACGCTTGAATTCCCTTCCCGAGAATGTCTGCCCTGATGTCTGGATGAGAGAGACCCTGCAGGTATGGGGCCTTTGTCCTCACACAGCCTTGGACACTTTAGGAAACACAGTAGTTTTAAAAGCTGACCTCCTCAGCTCTGACTTGGGTGTCACTGGTCAAACCTCAGGTTACAAGCAGAGATGAGGAGGGTAGTGGGAACACCATACCCTCATGGGGAAACCTTTTAAGGGAGACATCTCCCCTTGTCTCCTCTAGCAGAGGGCAGAGGGAAACTGGAAGGATAGAGGCACAAAGGGGAGACAAAGGTCCATGGAGGTGAGCCTTGTGGGGTAAAGGAGACTGGAATCTGGAGTGGCAGAGTAGGAAGAGACTTCAGAGTCCACCTAAACCAGCCTACGCAGTTATAGCCAAGCCAGCTCGCAGTGGTTGGCAAGGCAGAGGGTGGGGGCAGAACCCCTGCATCTGACCCTTTCTCCTCTCAAACACCACACACTCTGATTGCAGTGAGGTCCTCCGAAGAACAGCACTGGACACCAGGCCTCCAGTGCTCATGTATGAGTAGATCACAGGTGTGATTGAGGCCTCCCCCATAGGCTGTACACTGAGGAGTCAGTGTTAAGAAAACACTCCAGCCAACCTGTGCTCACAGACATTGCCAAGAACACTCAGGTTCTCCTGACATGGAAATGGGTTGTTGGCAAATATTTGATCTTAATTATTTGCAATTAAGACAAAAGTAGCTGAACAGCCATGCATCTGCTTTACCTAGTCTGTGGCCAGCAGGCCCGGTGTTGAGCTGGGAATGCCGTGCACAGGGGTGGGCCTGGAATCCCATCCTTGGCCGCAGAAATGTGGACCAAGCTGTGGGTTCCTTGCAAAAACTAGCCCCTTGTCACTACTTCCTTCTTGTTACTAAAATAGAACGAATTCCCCAGTCCTAGCAGGATGGTGATAAAACAGTAATGGGAAAGGTAACCAAGTGAGACCGCCAGCAACTGCCTACAGTATTTATGAGGACGATCATGATGCATGAAAAAGATATAATATGCTTAATTTATAGTCATAAAGAAAGTCGTTTACCCAGGTTAGAAACTGATCATCTTACCAAATAAGCGGATTTTTGACACTAATTAAATTTACTGAACACAGTCAGAAATGGGAATTGTTACGTGAAAGTTACGACACCAGAGAAACACATTCATCTGTACCAGTGGGTGCTAGAGATCCCCTCTGTGACTCAGATCAGGTTTCTTGAGGTGAACTCATAGACCTCGGCTGCCATTGCCTCCCAGACAAGGGGAAGTGGCCCAGCTTAGTGACAGTGGAAGCTGAGCCTGTTGGGACTCTGTCAAGGGATCAGAGGAGGTGGGACTTTCTTCGTCCCCCATTGCAGGGGGCCCGTTTTCTCATCACTGACCATACCACATGGCAGTGTCCAAACTCTGACTCAGTCTCAGTAACTGGTGCTTTGGCGCAAAGTACAGCAGGGAGTGCTTCTCTCTCGGGGATGGTGCCGAGCAGCGCATGAGGGAAAACATGCTGGTTTTCTACTGTGGGATGCTAACCCCCATAGGCAAGCTTGCCCCGTGCAGCACTTCCCTCCAAGATCTTGTCCCTGGCTTGACTACTGAGAAGAGCCCTCTTCTCATGATGCCACCTCGGGAGGTCCCTACTCCTCATTCAGCAAAGGACTAGGGTTGAAATGCTTACTACCACATCCCACCTCACCACGAAGCCACACTGAGGTGACGGCTTGGCTCTGAGCAGGCCAAAAAGAGTGGGCCATGGCCGCAGAAAGCATGGACAGCACCAAATCCCAGGCACCCCATGTCAACAGCCTCACTGGCGCCTGCCGTGAGCCCCAGGCCGGCATGGCGGTGGTCTCTGGCACTGGTGGCTAGAAGGTTCCCGTATAGCAACTAAGTGCCCACCTGTTGGAACATACAGATAGATTGAATGCTTCTTTTCTGAGCAAAAATACCTACCCACCGGGGAGCTACAGCGCACAGCCTGGGTCATGGTCAGGTTTTTTAAGGACCCAGGACTGACGACTTGCTGTTGGGAGCCCCCTGTGCACACGGGGCGGGGGGGTCTGGATGGGGGCGGGCGTGCCATCCAGGAGCACAGTTCATGGTCCCAGGATTCCCCAGCCTGACCCTCCTAAAAAAATGTATCCTCTCAGACAGGCCCAAGATGGATGGGAGCTGGTGACGTGAACTTGGACTCCCTCACGACAGAGACCGTATAAATGTCTTGTCCGTAGCTGCAGACCCTGAGTTTGCGCCAGAGCCTGCAGAGATGCAGCTCCCCGGCCCGCACCGTGCACAGGTGGAAACAGTGGGGCACTTCCCCCACACAGCCAGGTCACAGTCCTGGAGAACCTCCTCTGTGCCAGACCTGACTCCGGGTGCTAGGGACACAAGGCACGCCATGATATGATGCTCAGGGCAGGACACTGCATGTAGGGAGACACACAGGAGCGAGAACACAAACAAGAAACCACTGTGGGTTGTAGTCAACACTAGGAAGGAAACAGACCAGTTGCTGTCATGGGCCAACTCTCTTGGAGTCAGAGAAGCCTTGTTGAGGTGAGAGATTTGACGTGAGACCTGAGAGAGAGGGGGCAGAGCCCTGGGCCTGGGAGGGGGACAGCCTGGGCTTCACAGGAAGCAGCCCACTTGCTCGCAAAGCCCTGCTCCAAGACAGCCTTGCCAGGCAGAGGCTGGCTGCCGGCTGGACCCTTGGGAAAGTGGGGTGCCTCTGGTTCGCTGGAGGTGTTTGTCAGCCCGAGTCCTGAACGTTGAGAGGAGGTCTAGTCACCCTGAAGTTCAGCACGATGGCTCTATTCCTGGCGAAAGGGACTCACCCTTGAGCACTCCCACAGGCCAGAAGGCTCTAGGCACCATGCAGGCTGCTGGTGGGGGAGGGAGCAGTCCCCCTGGGCTCTCACCACGAGCCACCTTGGTAGGAACCGACACAGCCTATGGGTGCCCTGGGTGCCGGGGCTGCGCCAGCTCCACCTGTGCCTGGAGAATCTCATTCACATCGTGGGG